GAGCCCCTCAGTCACGGCCGGCCGGGTCTGGCCTTCGGGAGCCGGTGGCATCACACGCCAACGCCTGCTCAGCCCTCGCCTGATGCCGGGCAGCCCGCACCGGGCCTGCTCCAACGCCCTTCCGCGGGTCCAGCAGTAAGAGCCAGATCCCTGCTGGCTTGCAGCAAGCCGAGAGGAGCTCAACAAGGGCTTGGGCCAACGGGACGTGGGGAGCTGGAGAGGGCGGGAGGGAGCAGTGACTCCTATGTTCAGGAGAGGACACCTGAACATAGGAGTCCCTGGGCCACCTCCACTTTGAAAAAAACTTCCTTCAACAGCTGTGCCAGCTGCAAGGAGCTTCTGGCAGCCAGACTGACAAAATTTTCCTTCAGCTTGGTGTGGCCGATGCCATGCTCTGAGCGTATGGACACCCCTACCACACTATACAGGAGCCTGAACCTCAGGAAATCTAAGTTTGACTGAATCTGTTTTCGGTTTGCCCATACATGCAGTAGGAATAAACCAGGAGGAACACCACCTTTGGTGGAAGTGGAAAATGGCAGTAGCCACACGCAGTAGCCACAATCTCCCTTCCGCTACAGGGAAAACCATGATGAACAAACAGCAAGTCAGCCTCAAGGATGCGGAGAAGGTAGCAATTTCCACCTTTGCCACTTCCGGAGAACCCCAGTTCCCTGCAGCCCGTTAGCAATTGGATCCCAAAATGAGGACTGTACTTGACTAGCTCAGGAGCAGATTATGTCCATGTCTGAACACATAGAAGAAGCTGTAAGCTTTCAAAAACTTACAGGAATGAAAAGAAGCAGCATTCAAACAGAGTGGCATCAGAAATAAGATGTCGACATATCACAAAATCACAGGATGGTTGAGGTGGGAATGCATCTCTGGAGGTCACCTTGTCCATCCCCCTTGCTCAAACAGGGCCACCTAGAGCCAGTTGCCCAGGACTGTGTCCAGACAGCTGTTGAATATCTCCAGGGATGCAGACTCCACACCATACTGGGCAACCTGTGCCAGTGCTCCATCACCCTCCAGTGAAAAAGTGTTTCTTGATGTTTGGAGAGAACCTCCTGCATTTTCGTATGTGTCCGTTGCCTCTGTTCCTGTCACTGGGCACCACCGGGATCCTCCTTCAGGCCCTTTTTGAAGATAGGAGTGACATTTACTTTCTCCCACTCACCAGGCACCTCTCTTGGTCACCACGACCAAAGATGTTCAACATGATGCCCATGAACCCTCTTCTCTGTTTTGTATGTTTTGGTAATTGGCAGATTGGATCGTGGCCTTCAACTTCAGTTAGTTTTATGTTTTATTTGTATTCAATTTAGTCATTTTGAGGAGAAGATGACAACTCCTCTCCTTGGAAAGAGAAGTATTAAGCCCTTAACTCTCTCCCCATGCTACTGGACTGAGACTGTGAAATAACATTTAAGTTCCCGTGTTTGTCACGTCTTAAACACAACCGAGGTTTGATGCTGAGAAGAAAAGCAGAAGTGAACCAGCTGAGCTGATGTTGTGTGAAAGGCAGTTAATAACAGAGCTGATTATTTCAGTAGTTTTTTGACTTCTCATTAAAGTCAGGAGGGAAAAGAAGAGACCTTTTTCACTATCTTAAATGTCAACATTTTAAAAACAATTTATATTGCCACTTTCAGAAGTTAACCCAAAGCTGCAGAGTGACTACAGTATTTACCCCAAAGGGTGCCTTGGATCGATTAACCCATTTGGGAGGGCAACTCTTGGCTGCCCTGGACACCCAGCCTACCGCAGACGGGCGGTGAGGCTGACAAACGGCCGATTGCCTCGCCATAGCCGCCGTGCAGGGTGAGCGCGTCAGCCTGCTTAACTCTGATTGAACAAGATAGAACCCAGAAGGAAACAAGGACACTTAACAGTATTTAGGAACTTAAGGATGTTAGTCTAACGTGGTCTTATGAGGGGTAATATTTATTTTGGGTTATGGCCAGATGATGATGTAATAGCCTCGTTTGGGCAGTCTAGACCCTTCATATGTGATAAACGCTTCCCCAGAATGCATAATTTACTAAAACCCACATGTAGGGTGCATGCTTGTATCTAGCAGAAATGCTCTCTAGCCAAAACAGAAGACTTGAAAAGCTTTGCCAGCATAAGCGAATAATGCTACCAGAAAAAAATGCTTGAACAATAATTTGCCTGATTTATAAATGTGACTGTATTGAGAAATACAAACTTTCCAGAATGCCCTAAAGAAAAGTAAAATGTGAAGTATTCTTCAGAAACGAGCTCAGTGCCAAAGCTTTGGTGGCAAGATGCTAATTTGCTCTCAATAGGCAGGCCTGATTTCTTCAGCATTTCCCTCTTTCCCTTTCTCATCACCTAAAGGCCTGGAATATGAAAGGGCAGACAAGCCTAGGGGGATATACCACGTCCTGTTACAGCACGTCAGTCATCAAAAGAACACTGAATTATTTTCATTTTTCTTCCAACTGCACATCATGATAAAGCGATTTTGCTTTCCAAGTATGTATATGGTGCTTTAGTGTTCTGTTTGTAAAAATAAAAGGTAGAATTTTAGGAAAGCTTATTAAAGCCTTCAAAACAGGACTCGATTAACACGAAAGCCGGAGTATTGCTTTAGCTAAAACCCAAACCAGCTTTGATTCTGTTTTTAGCAAAGCTAACTTTGCTTATAAGCACATCTGTGAAACCAGAAAGCACTACGGACATTCAGGTACAATATTTGGATGGAGTGAGAAGTGGATGTGGGGTAGGGTGAAGTTCATGGGCACATCAGTTACAGGCCTAGAAAAAGTTAGGTGTCCTTTCAGTGGAATGCGTGCAAACATTTCTTTCTTGTGTAGAAATGAAGATTTGTACCTGCCCACAGCTGTTTGCTGGTGAATCACCCAGCGCCCTACGGCCAGTGCGTATGTAAAGCACCCGACCGAGCAGGGATAGCGAGGCTCAGAGAGCTCCCATCCTCCTCCTCCTCCTGCGTTCTCTGAGCACTGAGCGTTACATCTCCAAGTGTAAATTTTACCCTATACCAAGCACGAATTACGACTACTTGAAATGAATCTGTCGTGCTCATCAAATTTAAGAGAGAAATTCTCTCAATTAAGAGATGTGGGCAGCACGCAAAGCAGTATCTGATAGAGGAGGACAGAGCATCCAGTATCTCCTAATGAAGTAAGTGGGGTCTGTGTTGTTACCTGAGAGTTTACAGAGCGAAAAAAAACCTTAAACACTTTCAAAAATCAAGACCGTTTTAGGAAAAAAAATCTTCTGAAAAACAGATCAAGGAACAGAGACTCAGATCTGCTAACACCAAATGTCTTCTCAGCTGCATAACCGAAAAAATGAATTGCGCGAGATTAAATCCGTATGGCTTTATTAATTATCTTTGGTCACCAGGTCAGTGCTTCAGAGTAAGACAAAATTACAAAATTCAGAAGAAAACACAGCATGGTTGGCAGTCGGATGAAGGTAGTTGCAGAACTCGGCTTGTATGGGCCTCAGGATTCCCAGCAAAATGATGGATTTACACTTACAGCTACAAAGTCTTGGTATGTTGAATCAGTAGCATTCATTTGGTTAATATTAGGAATACACGGAGTAAACTTCAGTGGTAAGAGTATTCCAGGTGGTGGTGTGGGCTAGGCACAGTGCTGCAGGAGCTGCTGGGGTGGCCTTACCCTTCCTTTGTGTTAGTAGAAACAACTATCCACATACATGAAATAAGAACGACTTCCAAATAAAAAGTCCAAAGGCACATGCAAGGAATCTGAACTATGTGGATGAGGGGACTTCACTGTGCACTGCTGAAGAAGAGTGGGTTGTGCGTGTTTGGCAGCAGAACACTCAAAGAGGAGGAGCAAAAAGGCATGTGGCCATGAAGAAAGAGGGAACTGCTGGGAATAGGTGGCAACCAGCAGAAAAGTGTCTGCGTTTTTTATTCTTCTGCGCTGACAGCACTAGAAATACGTTTGCTTTATCAATTTCTACTCTGATAAAAGATTGGAGTAAAAAATGAGACTAGTCTTATAGACACAGGGCCATGCTGTGGTGCCATCGTGGCTGTTCAGTAATCACCACCACTGGTGACTTCTTACGTAGTCTACACATATTCTTGGCATATGCAGGCATTACAAATATGAAACGCAACCCCAACAGCCCACCACAAAGACATTTCATAATTCCCTGCTCTGACGTTGTAATTCTGCATTTGGGAGTTGTACAGAATTGAGGCAACGTGTGATGGGCATAGGCTACCCCAAACAGAGACTCCTCCACGGGAAAACTCTGGTCTGAACAGTTTAGAGGTCCAATAAATAACTGCCTTGAAGGTTACTGAAGATGAGCTGGGAGAACGACTGGTTCTCTAAAGGCCGGAGTGGCTAGCAGCTGCCTGAAGCCATTGAAGGTTCAACCACACCATTTGTAAGACTGGGTTGGATTTACCTGAACCTGTGAGTTTCGAAATAAACCTAAACTAAGCTGGATTTGAAACAGTAACCACTACACTCTCTAAAAGCCACTTCTCTAAAGGTTGTCCAGAGGAAGATTTATTTGGTAAAGTCACTATTTGATACCCAGCTGTGAAATAACTCTTAGGCTGCCCCCGAAACGTTATCGCATACATTTCCTCTCCAATCACTCTTATTTAAGGTTGATCAAGCACGTAGGATGAGTTATGTTCAACAGTCAGGATTTCTCTTTGATATTTTAAATCCCTTCTGGCTTCTGAAAAAGGCTGCCTTTTCCTACTCCGGTGCTAGGATAACTCTTTACCTGGAGGCTAACACCCAATGAAATTCCTGTTCAGACTCCCCTCATTAAGACCACTGAGATGAATGAGCAAATTAAAGCAACAAAGTAAGCTCACATTGTTTGCTTCTTCTCTTGCTTGGATCTTTACTGATTTCAGAAACAAAACTTCAGTTTGCGAAACCATAAAAGGATCTGCTAACATGTGCCCATTCCCTTCGGAATAATTACGAATTTTCCGTGGGATTCCTCCTAGTATTTTGGGCAAATAAATACTTTATATTAAAAATATTCTCCTTGACAGATCATGCATCAGATGTATTTTGGAGACTACTCATAGCAGCTGACGCTTGCACTATACCTCTCTTCTCAGTGTTACAGAAAGGCAAAGGCAGGAAAGGAGTTTTCTTTGGTTTCTTTTGTCAAGTTTTTCTTTTGGGCAGAGGAGTAAGAAAGAATCAAACCACTGTCATAGGGCTGTGGTTCCAGGTAAGAAGGCACTTCAGCTTTCCTTTTGCTTTTCTTTCTATATGCTTTCAAACAAAAGAATAAAAGACAACAAACTTTAAAAGAGAAATAACGCTGTTCTTGGAAAAGACCTCTAAACAGATTAAAGCCTTCCTATCCTGTTCTAAATTAATTTTGTTGGACCATATGAAGACTTGCAGAGTTTGGATGGCAATCCGACCCATAGGCCAGCTGCAATCTAACAGAATTGCTCACAGTTTCTGCTCTCTGATGCCATCTCATCCACATATCCCTCAGGCAAGGAAAGGGGTGTGTGAGCTGTGGCAGCCTGGAGCTGGCTCCCTGGTACCCTGCTTGTTTAGGGATCCCTTATCTCCTCTTCCTTCAGGTGACTGAAATACCAATATACTCAGTCACGAGAGGCAGAAGGAGCTATACCATCCTTTACTGGCTCCACCACTGCTCAGGTGGTCTGCTCCAGCAGAAGGATGAGGTGTCTGTGGATTTGAGTAATACATGCTTAAGCCACTGTGCATTTTCCTTAATGAGTACAGACAGTGAGAAACACATTGTCACTGGTCAGTCACTGCAGACAACCAAGGCATACCACCTTAACAAAGCTCATTTTATTCCAACATTTGGGAAAAATATTTTAAGATTAAACAGGCTTTCTTTTGTAATTCAGTGGTATAAATAGGAAATTTCACTTGCCCTCAGCACACCTGCTAGGCACTAGAATTCAGACTTGGATATAGTAGAAATCAAAAGAAATGCTCTCTGACAGCAAATACTCCAAAAAGATATTGGAAACACCACAGCACCTTCTTTGGTTGTGCATTCAAATAGCTACTATGTTTATCTTAAATATATTTAACAGAAACGTAAGACCTATGCTCGACCTACAACATTGAAATAGTTTTTTTTCCTTCACTTTAACAATCAGAGAAAATCTACTAACATGCATTGGAAATGAGGGCTCCAGTTAAAGCAAGGAATAATCTCTAGTTCTTTATGCAGACGGAGATAAAAGCGTGATGCATTATGGCAGAGATTAACACCAGTATCTGCAGTAAACATTCTGCACTGCAACCTGGAAATGAGGAACCCTTGACGTTGTTCTGTATGAAACACTGTACTGGAAGGAGCACCACGAGAGCAAGCTTTGGACTTCCTCCATGGAAGTACAATGTCTTAGATCAACATCCCTTTGGGATGGAAAGACGAACTCCCAAATTCTTTATAAAAGAATATGCAAACATTCAATTAATATTACCTACAGAAGTTCAGTTACCCTTTCACATACAAACCTAAAGTCAACGAGCTAGAAAGATGAGTGAATAAAAATGGAGCAAGAATCAGGTACGATGTGCTTATTGTCTTTTATTGATCTTATTATTTACATAACCAAGCAGAGAGAAACTTTTCATTTATTTCCTGAGGGAACACTTCGTTTGCATAACTTGCTCTAGAGAACAGAGCGCATTTGTTTACATGAAATTTACTCCTTTTGCTTTGTTTGCTTGCTTTCCGCGAGCCCCAAAAGCACTGCGTCAGCTTCCAGCAAAGTTGTATCAGTTGTTGCACCCAGGAACCTAGACGTGAGTTCAAGATCCAGCAGTCTCAGGCGTACTCGGGTTCCTCTCTGATATTTTCTGTGAAGAAAAGGGGAGAGGGGGAAGAAGGTAAGTTTTGTTAAGCGATGGTCTTACATCTCCTAAGGCTGCTCACTTGTCTGCAGACCGAAGGAGCAGCTTCATGGAAAACAACGTGCTGCAGTGGAAGTCCAACACTGGTGTAACGCGTCAGCACTAAACAGCTGGGACGTACTCTTAAGACCACAGACCCAGCCTCTGGTGATACAATCCTGCCCATGGCAGAGCAGACACCACCAGATCCCGCGGAGGGAATGCAGGCTCTACAGAAAAGCTGTTATTATATGGGAAACTGTTTGTGTCTCCCATCAAAATATTTTACTGTATCATCTGCTATCATGCACACAATTATCTGCAGGACAACATATCATTAAAGGGGAGGACAAGTCATTAGATCATTAGTGACATTGCTGTGATCAAAAAAGTATAATGCCAGCTAACTATGGTTTGTATTTCCAACTCTGGGCCTCAGGCAAAGGAACTTTTCTTGTCTTATGCCCTCCTCCAAAGAGTGAGTATCATCTGCAAGTTTTTTACTACATATAATTAAAAAGAAACCCCACAACTATTGTAATGAAACATTCCACCTACAGGGTCGGGTTTTATTGTTTTATGCTCTTTTTTTTCTTTCTGTTTCCTTTTAAGTCAGAAGATGTGAGTGTTCAACATGTTTTAAAAACAGACTCTGTATCAAGATGGCCATGCCAAATTAGGAAAGATTTTTGAAATACTAGCATCTTGTCTAATGCACCTGGAGATCTACTGATCAAAGTGCAGCAATAAAACTGAAAATTATTCTCCTTTTGTAAGTTCAAGCCATACTTCTTTCTTTTTTTTTCTAGTCAAAGTTACAGTCAGACTTGATGACCTTAGAGGTCTTTTCCAACCTAAATGATTCTACGATAAAGAGCTAAAGATGACACAAGCCTGACCACCTTGAGCAAAAGCAGAAGAAAGTTTGCAGCATTCTCCAGTTACAGACTGGATAAAATGTAAGGGGAAGTCTGGGTGAACGCACTTCTACCTTGCTCATATTCACCTTCAGCCTGGACAGACAATCTTTTCTATCTGGCAGCTGTTTGCTAGCACAGAGCAAAACTGAACCGAGTTTCAGCTTTCTTCAGCGCATCAAACCCAGATCCTTTTGGAAAATGAAACATCTTGAGACAAGATGCTGGACTTGCACATTTTTTTCCATTTTCTGTCAATTCTATCTTACGTTAATTTCCTGTGGCTCTTGGTTAACCCTGGGTAGTGCGCTCGGTTGTGTTACAAACTGCAAAGGAAGATCATTTGATGCCCCCACTCTCAACGAGTAGCTACGTTGGGTGCTTTGGCGAGCAAGGTTTGATCATCACAGCATGAAACCTGTGATGATCTGCGTGAATCAACCCAGTGGAAATACTGTGTTGATTTCTTAAAAACATGTTCTTGACTTTCTTAAAAGCATGAAACTGAAGTCTTTCCTCTGCCCAAAACGTGAATAACCACGCAAATAACGCAGTGAAGAGTAGGGCACAGCTAGCTACCAAAGGCAGAGAAGAGCTTATGTGAGGTTGTCACCTGAATAGCTGGAAAAGATCAATTCTGCCTCTTTCTATGCAAAATATTTGCATTTCAAAACAGAACAGTTTCACAGCTGATGATAGTAATTCGCGAAAGCTAAAGTGCAACATTTCAGAGGAGCAAGACAAGGGCAAAACAAAATTAAAAGACAATGCATAAGATCTTAAAAAGGGATGCTATTTTCCAGGATTTGTTACGCTTATTTAAAAGAGAAAGCTCTCCAAAGAAGTCAAGATGTTTTAAGATAAGAAGGGGAATGAAGAGCAAAGCTCCTCACTCCTTCCAGCAGCCAACAGCTAAAAAATTTTAAATAAAGATGCCAGCTGAGAGTGATTTAGGCATTTGGGTGCATGGGAGAAATCTACAGAAAATTCTCTACGGTGAGCCCAACCTTCAGCTTGTTGACAGCTGCAGGCTAGATGGGTTGCTTTAGCATCCAACCATGAAGTTATCCTCATCCCTAATAGTATCTTATCAGACTTTTCTGCCTTTATCAATGAGTGTGAGGAGTGGATGGGGCATGAGAAAAGATAAATTCTAAAATAAAAAAGCGAGATAAATTAATTTTTGAGAGAAGGCAAAAGAAGAGGCAGAGGGGATATCTAAGTGGGAGAAATGGTCTATGGAAACAGAAAAGAGACAGCTGACACAATAAGGAAAAAACAAGGCTTGGGAATATATGAAAGAGAGGATAAATGGTAAAGCAAGTGACAAGAAAACGCTGAAAACACTTTAAGCAAATAGTGTAGAAATGAAGGAAACTGTATACAGAGTAGAGCCACAGAAGAGGAAAATGTCCCTGAGAAGTACAGACCGCATGAAACTGTTATAGCTTGAGTGACACTAAACTCCAATCTGTAAACATCATTCTGTGCTGCTTTTGAAGTGATGAAGGACACATATTTAATCTAATAAAACTTAACACTAAAACTAGTGGTTATGTGACAAATTTTAAAGGCCAGCAATCCCTCTGCTTTCCACTTCTCTCCTTTCTCCTAGAGGAAATGCAGCTCACCAGTAATGGAAAGCAGGATGCTACTGTGAAGACTGGCTTCAGGGTCCAACGCTTTTCTACAGAAGATTGAACTGAACAAGGTTTGTATCGAATTAGAAGTCCTCTCCCTATTCGACAGCGCAGCGTAACAGAGACACTGAGTTCCGTTTTTGTAACTGGAACACAAAATACTACTTTCCTCATGCAACAGTTCCTTTTGGGCTGGTTGGCAGACTGCAGTGCTAAGTGTCTTGCAAGGGAATACATGAAACTCATCTTTTCTAATCAAACCTTTAAAAGTGCTATTCAGAAGCAGGAAAGTCCATGAGCAAAATCTGTAAGGGAACTGTACTTCTCATGTTTAATACATCTAATTTAATAATAAATTAATAATCTTAAGCACGACTTCCCTCATTTTAGCATCATGAAGACTTTACTCACTGTAGTTTGCAGAGAACTTTGCTCGAACTTCTAGACACAACTTTAGCATATATTTGTATTGCAAAATCCAGGCAATTGTATTTTCATAAAAAGAACCACAATCTTCAATGCTGCTTCAGTAACTCAAAACAGATTCCAGATACTTTAATCATACTTAATTATTAAAGAAAGTTTTTCAGCCGCAGCACATCTGCTTACAAAGAGATCCTGAAAAACGACACTTCAAGGAGCTGACGCAACTCCCAATTTGTATGAATACAAACATGTTGGTTTGTGTCACGTTTCCTACAGCTAAAACACTTTAGAATCCACGAGAAGTGGAAGATGTAAAAAAAGTAAAAACACAAACACAAGGTGCAGTGGTGGTCTATCCACCACATTTAGAGCAAGAGGAAATGAAAGGCTGCTCTACGCATAGTAAGCATACTCTATCCACGAAGGCATTTATCCTTAAAACAGATAAAACTATCCTACGGTTAAAGCAGCAGCTTGAAGCAGGACCCAGAAACAAAGCAGGCATTTTATTATTTTCATGAACGGTGTTCTAGGAGACACAGGACACCAGTGTAAAAGGAAGGAAGCCATCTACTCCATTTTGCAAAAGAATTTGCTTTATTTTTAAGTAACAATGC